ACCAAGGCAGATATTTAGGAAGGTAAATATCTTGGGAACGTGCCGGCTCAGGTAGATAGCAAAGAACTGCCGAGAAAATGTTACCGGATAGGAAGTAAAAACTTGCCTCACACAGATTAATAGACCAAGCGCTATTAATGTCATACACATAAGAAAAGCAATTGCAATTAAGAGTAAAACTACCAAGGAGCACTTGTCCACAGCCGTATAAATCAAACATTACTATAAATCGAGTATTGAGGTTACAAGTACCAAGGAGCATTCACTCACATCTTAAAGTAATTCAATCTCAATGTAAATTTTTTTTGTCAATAATAATAATGACTTAGTGTCATGTGCAACCAATGAAATGCTTTGTTTCTCTAAGTGCACATCCTCTCTAAGTGTACATTATCCTTACTATATCTAATGAAAAAATTCCTCTAAAAAGAGGAAATATTTGTAGTCATCTTCAGTTCTTCTTCAGTAGCATTTTTTTTCAATCGGTTAATATTTGATTTACTGTTTAATAATTGAAGAATATCTTATCAAAGAACATTGTGTAAACAAGTTAAACCAATCAGCCAGCACTTACATAAATTGAATATTAATTGTGTAAATTTTCAAATCCTTCAATCCAGTGTATAAATTCATGTGCACAGTGCACAACCTCCTTAAGCTGTGTACAATGAGACAAAATCTTTGTGCAGGCTCTCTACAAAATTTTAAATATAGTGCACAAATTCAATGAGAAATTTTTGCACTATTACATTTTTCTATATATACAACTAAATTACTCACAATGATGTTTGCAAATTGATGCACCATGGAATCCAATATTTCATTTTTAATTTCTTTACAATCAAACAAACTTTCTTTCATTAAATCTAGGATACCAATATGCTGGTCTATTGAGTATAAAACAAAATGTAGATATAAATAACCAACCAGATATCAACATTTTGGGATTATCATAAACTTACGTTATTATTTTTTTTGATTTAGGAATTGAATTTTGGTATTTTGCAAACAAGAGCTCCCGATTTTGATCAGAATTTAACTAAAATATTTTATTAAACATTATGGATTATCAATATAGTTTCTTGGTCTAAATTAACAAGTTGTTTTTGTTTTTTCAACTAGTGATGACAAGTGGCAATAACCACCATTCTCTTTAATAAACTAGAGTTATGATAAATGGTGATAACCACCATTATTTTTAATAAATGACACTTACCCACGACTAGCTCCATTCTCTTGTTTTCTTTTTTGA